TGATGATCATTCTGCTATGATTAGGTATTAGATGATTTTTTTTCTTTCTTTATTTTTGATTTATGATTTTATATATAATTGTGACATTTTATTTTACATTGGTAAACATCGCTATTAGGCTTGTCCATTCAAGTGCTGAATGATTTTGAAAAAATTCTCGAAAGATTTATTTGAACGTAAGGTGCATGCACAGCAAAACTCGAGCAAAATTTTTTATTTGCTTTTTTTTCACGTCAACGGATAAAGAATTTTGCGGCGGTCACGAATATATGGTCCTTAATTTTTTTTAATGCCTCTTTACACTCCAAAAATTCAAAAATTCGCAGGTTTTTCAAACATCCTATTTTTAAGGTTTTTTTTGAAAAATTAACTTTTCAGGGTGTTCAGTTGATTGAATTGGCTTCAAAAGGACATATTCTGATTCAGCTTTTCAAGCTGAACAAGAATATATCTACCGCATAATTTTTAACTTAACTGTTTATTCGCCAGGGTCTCCAGAAACCATTTTTTTGATACTGCAAGAACCTCTTTTTGTAAACTTTTCACAAACTTTTCCTGAGGTCCTAGGATCGATTTCTTTACGTCATTCGATTCGTCAGATGCTCCTCTACAAATGTATACGAGTGGATTTTTAAAAGATTTTGTCGTTATGGAAAAAAACAGGTTTTACAAAAAACCTTTGCTAAAAATTGAAAATTCACTTCTGAGCTGTCGCAAATTCTCACATAACAGAGCTGAGAAATCGCCAAACAGTTTATTAACCATGGAGAACTCAATAGATATCGTGATAGCACCATCAAAGAGGTTTCGAGGGGTCTCCAGAGGGTCGTCCAAGGGTTCCAATAGGATTTTCAGAGGTCTAGGAGTGTATGCGCGGATTAATGTGTCGATGTGTGAATAAATAGGTGTGAGCTGTCCGAATCACTATCTGGGTGTCAGGGTTGTCCGAATGACTATCTAGGTGTCTAGGTTATCCGGAGTATAGGTGTCGGTATGACTGTTAGTGTGTGCATATTTTTCCATTCCATCATACTTTTATCGATAACCAAACTAGTGGCGTAACTGGGGGTGGTCCAGCCCTTTCACCGCCAGGGCACCGACATGTCTTGCCAGGGCACCGGTCAAAAGAAAAAATTAATAAGCACTATTAGAATGTTTGTAGTTTATCAATCGAATAAACTTTAGGCATCAATTAAAGAGTAATATCAGTTGTTTTTTAATTTTTAATTTTTGTATATATATGTATATATCACATAACAAAATAAGTAATTGATTACTTTATAAGTAGTGCATTAAAAGCCATAATGTCTGATTGTCATGCTGTGCATCACATCTTGATAATATGATCTTATGCAGATGCAGTTTATGCTAAGAAATATTGTCTCTGTGACGTTGTACCTGATATTTTCTTTCGTTCTGCATTTTCTTCTCTGTTCTTTATGTATCGGTATTTTCTTTCTTGTTACTACACTATATATAGTGGTTGCATTGTTATGATGATGAATATAAACACACATTCAGATTGAAACAAATACAAGAAGCATAAAGATCTCACACTGACTTTGAAAAGGAAAACAACTCTAAAGAGCCTAAACGTGGACGTGGAACTATCGAATCATTTTTTAGTTCACAAACGACCAAAAAACAGAAAAATGTTGTTTCTTTAAGCTTAGGTGAGTTAATAACCATTCAAACAGGTGAGATTAATACATCATAGCCTATAGGTGAACAAGAAGAACCAATTTCACCATATTCGTCAACTAATCAACAACAGGAACAAATTCATTTACTTTCGGCAGGTACACAATAAGATACATCTTTAAATAATTGACAATGGATGAAAATTCGTTCAATGTTTTTGTAGATGAACAACAACAACAACAATCGATCTCATCAGATTCGTCAACTAATAAACACCAAGAACAAATTCATTCGTCTTCATCAGAATCTTCTCTATTGTTGTCTTCATCGTCAAATACACCAGTATCTAATGTTATTGATATCAGTCGTTCAGCTGGTGAATTACCAGCCAAACCAATACGTTCTTCTTATCCATCAAACAAAGATAAAAGATCTTTTCATAGTCAATGGTATTCACGTTTTACTTGGCTAGAATATTCGGAATTAACAGATTCAGCCTATTGTTATTATTGCAGACACTTTAGTACTGGAATAATCTTAAATAATCGAGTAATTAATTTTTGTCTAAGACGTAGATTTCCTTTTGAAGGCGCAATTCGTTTTCTTTTTTTTGTATATGTCGTGATGTAGCACAATTTGTTTTCTCTCTAACTCGTGTTTAGAATCAAAGTGATGCCTTCGTACGGGGCTTCAGTAGTTGGAAAATGCTTTCAGTTCTAAACAAGGATTTTTGAGTCATCAAAATACTCAATGCCATAAAATAGCTGAAATTAATTATAAACAATATGTTGCACGTACAAAATCTAGTACAAATGTACTACAAGTGATAGATAAATCAAGAAATGAATTGGTAAAACGTAATCGTGAAAAACGAATTAAAATTGTCTCAACATTACATTTGTGTGGTCGGCAAATGATTGCTACACGAGGGCATGAAGAAGGTGAATCGTAAGTATATTCTAAAGAATAAACTGCATAACTTTAGTGTTTCTTACTACAATAGATCATTAAATCGAGGAAATTTCATCGAATTACTACGTTGGGCTAGTAGTACTGATCCAGTTGCTTTATCTATTCTTGAAGATAGTGATCGAAATGCAACTTATCTTAGTCCATGTATACAAAATGAGTTAATTTCACTTTTAGCGAATCAGATTCAACAAAAAATATCAGAGAAAGTATTATTGCTGTAATTTCATTAATAAACTAGTATTTTTATGTGCTCTATTTTCATAGATAAAAGGATGTGTTTTTGCATTGATGGCTGACGAGTCCCGTGATGTATCTGGATGTGAACAGCTTAGTGTAGTCATACGTGTTATTGATCGTAAAGTTGAGACAAATAATGATCGAAATCAATATTCATCTCTATTCAAAGAATATTTTCTTGGTTTCGTCAAACTTGATCAATTTGATGCTGAAACGTTAAATAAAGAGATTGCACAGCTTTTATCGTCTTTAAATATTGATTTACAAAATTGTATAGCAGTGTGTTTCGATGGGTATGAGTAATGAACAATTCACTATGAGAAGAGAGAATGTACATTTCCTCTTCTTTTAGAGCGGCTGTTATGGCTGGAAAAAATGGTGGCGTGCAAGCTTTACTACGCCAACAATATATTCCACACGCAATCTACATACATTGTTATGCACATAAGTTGAACCTGGTCATTTGTGATGTTACAAAGGAAGTTCCCTATTTATCAGAATTCTATTCCATCATCAGTAAAATTTATACCTATTTTCATAAATCAAGTGTGACGAATGAAATATTCAAATTAGTTCAACAAAGATTAAATTTAGGTACGAATATTTCGAGTTTATTTATCAGCAACAAAACAGAAGCTTGTTATTTATTTTTTGTAGAAGATTCCTCCAGTAGCTCCACTACTACAGTAAAAAAATGGGCTGAAACAAGATGGGATAGTCGTTGGACATCTATCAAATATATTATTCAAAATTATAAAGTTTTAATTAATAGTTTAGAAGAATTAGCAGATGATGGTACAGAACGTTCCACAGATGCACGAGGTTTATTATTAGCATTAAATGAACCATTATTCATTGTAACTATTTTCATTATGGATCGTTTACTTGGTAAAATAAAAATCTTATCAGATCAATTAAAGTGTAAGATTTTTCTTAAGACTTACGCTATCTTTTCTAACTTTACCGTCAACTGTATCCTGTTTTATTTTATCTAGCAAAATCACTCGATTTCGGTACAGCTCATAGCTTGATTAGTGCTGTTATTAATCAAATTAGTGAGCTTAGAAATGAGGAAGAATTTACCAAATTATATGATCAAATCATTGAATTTTCTGATAAAAATAATATTGATTTGAACAATAAAATGAAAGAAAGAAGAGTAAGAAAAACTTCTACAAGATTTAATAACTGTTTAATTACATGTACAATTGGACAACGTGAAGAAATTAATAATAAAAATAAATATAGAATATTTGTTTTCTATCCAGTAATTGATTCTATTCTTATCGAAATCAATGATCGTTTTTCGAAAACAAACATGGATATTCTTCGTAGTGTTTCATCATTATCACCTGATAGTTCAAAATTTTTAGAAATAGATGAGTTGAAAGCTTTATGTGTAATGTTAAAATCGGATATTCAATTATTAAATAATGAAATTCAAGTACTAAAGCCAATGTTAAAACAATTAAAACCAAAAAATATGATCGATTTATATTTTGAAGTTTTACCATTCGAACAAGCGTTTCCAAGTATTCTTTCACTTCTTATCGGCGCAATGACAATTCCAGTATCATCTACCACAACAGAAAGGACCTTCAGTAAAATGAAGCTCATTAAAACTGTTGCACGTAACAGCATGTCCGACAACAGGCTTAGTGATTTATCATTACTAGCAATTGAACGAGAGTTCTGCGTTGATTATGAAAAGATTATTGATGCTTTTGCTATTCAACATAAGAACAGCAGAATAATGCTGAAGTAGCTTTTGTTGGTTTACTTTTTTCCTGACTTTTCTTTTTGCTGTTTAGTTTAACTTAATAAAATAGCAGATACATTGTTTTTGTCTCTTTCTGTAGTTGAACAAAAATTGGGAGATTCAGTTGAACTTTGGGAAAAACTAACTACTGTGAATAATTTCTTTTAACGCATGCAAGGCACCGCCAGGGCACCCACAATTTTCTGGTTACGCCACTAAACCAAACCCACACCCCAGACACCCAGACAGTGATTCGGACAGCTCACACCTATTTATTCACACATCGACACATAAATCCGCGCATGCACTCCTAGAGCTCTGAAAATCCTATTGGAACCCTCAGAAGACCCTCTGGAGACCCCTCGAAGCCTCTATGATGATTCTATCACGATATCTATTGAGTTTTCCATGGTTAATAAACTGTTTGGCGATTTCTCAGCTCTGTTATGTGAGAAATTCCGACAGCTCAGGAGTGAATCTTTAATTTTTAGCAAAGGTTTTTTTCCATAACGACAAAATCTTTTAAAAATCCACTAGTATACTTTTGTAGAGGAGCATCTGACGAATCGAATGACGTAAAGAAATCGATCCTTGGACCTCAGGAAAAGTTTGTGAAAAGTTTACAAAAAGAGGTTCTCGCAGTATCAAAAAATGGTTTCTGGAGACCCTGGCGAATAAACAGTTAAGTTAAAAATTATGCGGTAGATATATTCTTGTTCAGCTTGAAAAGCTGAATCATAATATATCCTTTTGAAGCCAATTCAATCAACTGAACACCCTGAAAAGTTAATTTTTCAAAAAAAACCTTAAAAATAGGATGTTTGAAAAACCTGCGAATTTTTGAATTTTCGGAGTGTAAAGAGGCATTAAAAAAAATTAAGGACCATGTATTCGTGACCGCCGCGAAATTCTTTATCCGTTGACGTGAAAAAAAAGCAAATAAAAATTTTGCTCGAGTTTTGCTGTGCATGCACCTTATAGTTTTGAATCATTACTCTCATCCATTTGGAAATGTACTCCCTCTCTCGTTCTCTTGTCGATTAATTGCCTATTGACTGAACTCGATGAGCCAATTACTTTTCTTTCATTTCCTCTTATTCTATCGACCAATACAGTGGGGGTGTCGTTGATCTGGAGAAGAACCAGATTTTTTATATAAACAAAGTATCAAAGTGTCCAAGATTTATTTTGCTCGAACATTAAATTAAAAAAGAAAAAAAAATATTGATTTACTAATATTCAGTCCAAATAAAAAATATAGAAAAAAAAGAGTATTTGACTACATGAGATAAACGAATATTTAATCTGCTACTTCTTAGGTGAATTGGAAAAAAAATAATATTTACCAAAAAAATCACGTTATATTTAAGATTTCGGTTGTTTTTTTCCAATCGGAAAGATATTTACGAGGGACACATTGAATTTGATTTCTTTATTATCATCAGCTTATTTCAATTATAAATTTCATGTTCAGTAAATGACGAGTGTTGTTGATTATCATCATGAATATTAGACTTAAAAATTCAATCAATTCAAATCGTTTGTTGGTCATTGAATCTGAAAAGGAAAGAGATGTGACAAGTTACAGAAAATATTAAAAGCAATGTTTCAACTCTCGGTGAATTCTGTTTTTAAAACCAACGCTTATAAAACAGATATTGCACATAGATGGTCCTTCCCAAAAAAATTCGTCGCTAAGATATCACAAGAATAACAACAATGGACAGATAGATAGACACGTTCAAACAAATAATACGATAAATCTGACGCTACCAGAGCATGGATTGCATCTCCAATAATGAAAGAATTAAACAGTTCGACGTTTCGATATAATAAAAAGTAAAGTATCAATAATTCTCAGCAGGTGCTCGCTTGATACTTTGTTTTTTTTTCAAAGTGTAAAATAGAGCACCAATCAAGATTCACAAGGATCATGAATGCTTTGTTATCACTGGGAATCCTTGGTGTTAGAAACGCTGCTTGCCTGATCAAGTCAACATGCTATCGGTAGATTTAAATTACACAAAAACTGAATGTATTCATTGTAGACACTATCTATATGAATCAAAGCATCATACATGAGTCTTGTGGATTGATTAATACGAATCTCGTTCATGACGATTGAGCATAAGAGTGTATTTGCATTGTACAGTACACCTATTGTCATTCACTTCTGCTCGACATGAAACGAATGGCAAACATGATTACTGAACTCTGACCTTACCACATGCGCATAAATGTTATGTAACACTCTTGCAATGTACGTATAAGTAGATGCTGTCATGACTGAATTTCTATACAATTACAGGCTTACGAGCTAGTAACGTACTCATTCAGATGGATTAACAATAAAAAATAATGATCTCTTCATATTTTATCCTCTAATATGAATCAAATTATTATCGAGAATGAATAATCCAAGCTGGAAGCAACAATAATTCACTCAGCATTTCAATAAATAACAATATGTGAGTACAATATGAATGTTTTTCTACAGAATCGTAATTTTATCGTATGTTCATAATTGAAAATGTGTTATTTCTTCTTATATAATGCTTCACTTATCACCAGAAAAATATATTCGAATAGATGAACATTATATTTTTTTAATCACGCTATAATTCCTATAATTAACTGGTAGAAGGCAGTACACGTTTTACAACCATTTCGAATATATTGATAGAAAGAACTTGATTATTGCTGTTTGCAAAAATTCAACGATGCACACTAAGGAAAGTATTGAAACTTTTATGTTTTGCTTTTATCAGTATACAAGTAAATAGACTTCATATTGTAAAAATTCAAGAATATTCACTAGAATCTCTGTAAAATGTTAATGGCGTGAGCCCAATATCTGTTCTCATGCTCAAAGCGACAGTAGATGAACAGCTTGCACGACCAAGCGTTGTTAAAAATCAATATATCCTGACACCATTATAAATTAACAAAAACTCAAGAATTTCTATTTCATTCGCTACTCTTTTCGAATACGGTCGAAAAAGAAAATATTGAATGCTTTAAGGTTAAACTTAATAATCCACCGATAATAATGCAATAAAAACATGAGAGGTATTTTCAATGTAGAGAAATAGTAAAAAAAATAGATTATGAAAACTTAAGTAAGTAGGTCGATGTTCAATGCATGTTCCATTTATTTCTTGATTTTTCAATTTATGAGTAAAGACATAAATATGAATATGATTTATTTAAAGTTTTCCAAACGATGCAATCAAAATATTTTCTCAAGATTACTATCCCATTGAATTAGCCCAGCTTCGCCGAAGAAATCGTTAACCGAAAAATATCGAATCAAATCTGATCCATTATAGATATAGAATTTTATCATAACTAACTAGTTTATTAGTCACTCGAGAAAATTATTAATGGCAATAATTCGACTTTACTATTAACTTCATCGGAAAAGACTCGTCAGTAAAAGTGTAATTCATTAGCTTAGTCCGATTGTTAAATAAGATTTTGTTAATTTTGAAGGAAAATTTACAAACATCTAATGATGAGTTTTTGTTAGATATATATGTAACATTGGGCCGAAATATTTGTATGAATACTCGTTGATTTAACTTATTTGAATATTTTAACTATGAATATACCCACAATTATCATCATAATCATTATAATTGCTGGAAAATTTTTCGGAATTTTTCGAATAATACCCATAAGCTGTTGTATACGTTGGATACCGACCACTGTCAGTACTATTTCGATTATTTTGTAATACCAAATAGCTGTCGGAAGTTTGATAAATATTTTATATGACGGTAAAGATCTGAAACCCAATTTTTTATAGATAGGTGCACCCATAGCAGACGCTTGCAACACCATATAACGATAATTTAATTCTCTAGCACTTCTCATGGCTGTTAGAGATAATGCTTTCCCTATACCCTGCCCTCGTTCAGTTTTCAAGGTAACTAAATTGAATAAACAAGCAATACCACGAGATAAACTCAAGTGGCATCCACCAACTACCCGATCATTTTTTAGAGCAATAAACATTCGTACTGGTTTCGTTGGTCCGACTTCAACTCGACTCCATACATCTGAATAAAATGGTCCGAGAATTTCGGGATTTCTAAATCCGAAACTTTCACATAAGACGTAACCCCATTCTAATTTTCTCATCTTTGAATCGGCTTGCGTCAAGTCATCTAGTTCACATATTGTTATGCCGAACTTGCTTTCATCAGATTTTAATACAGTATCATTGCCATCAAAATCCATATACAGAAAGTGATCGCGCTGCTGTAATAATTCAAGGAATCTGTAATTTTTCAATAGTTCTTGTGTGGCTAAGGCTGTTGGTTTGACTTCCACACGTACTGGACAGTTATAATCATATGCCAAGGATAATATTCGTTCCATTATTTGATTATTGTCATTGCGATGATGTTGTTCTATTGTATGACAAATATCTGTATTCAATATTGCATTATAAAAGCTCCAGAGCATATTTGGTGAAAAAATGCAATCGATCATATTTTCTACTTTATGAAAACGTAATGGCTTGATGTCCTGCTCATTCTCATCGCCATCAGTCGCAGCATAACTTGCTATATGAAGATAAAATGATTTTTTGTTTTCACAAAACAATTCACTTAATTCTAATGCTTCATCAATATTCTTTGTTAATATTTTCATCAAAGAAACCATTCTCAATTGGATTATTATATTTATCCTAGTTTACGTTAAACGTATGAGGAAAAATAAGATGAACTAGATACGATATTTTGTGTAATTCACCGAAACCACGGCAAAGCAAAACTTGAGAACGAGTTTTTATTATAGTAGTGGAGTAGATAACGAAGCTGAAATGATTCATATATCTAAACTTGCTATGTTACTAAATTGACATTTGCTTTCTTCTTCCATGCTATAGACATAACTGCCACCATCATCATTTTGTCGGTTCACTGCTAAATCTAGATGGCGTTGTTGTTTGCTCATTGTATCGATCATAAATTTCATCAATCATGAGGCATAAGAGAATCCAGTTACTTACATGTATTAAACAATAAGAAATCGTACGATCAATTGTTGAAAATCTAATGAATTTAGTGATGCAATTTATTTTTATAATCATTATACTCGTTTTCACGAGATTAGCCATCAATCTGAATTATGTTGATGTAGAGATAAATCTCAGAACGACGAAGAACACATTCTGCATGAAGTAGATATCTAAAAGTACAAATATCATTAAATGTTTTATTCAACTATCATCGGATTTTTATGTGATTGTTTATAGGAAACAGATAAGAAATTATTTTTAAATTAATTTGTTGCATTTCACTGGCTATTTGATATATAAATAATTAGAAGGCTTTGCATGTTTTTCCTTCGCAAATTCTAAAAATAATTTCAAAAGCAATTCGACATTTTGTATTGACCGTGCTAAAATCAGTGAAACAAATTTGAATTATTTATCATGATTTTCGTAACTCCATGTTGCTATTTTATTCAATAGAAATAGAAATTTGAAATAGTTTCTTACCAACAATACGAACTATAATGATGTGTAGTGATGTTCTTCAGAAGGTCAACTTGTGATTAATAAACATATAGCGTACAATTCATGGTGCTTGAAACAAAATCATAGAATCAATGCAAGCTGCGATTTCATATCGTTTTCCAATTTGAAATGTATTTCGAATCTCTGAAAATCCTGATATTATTAACAATCTTAACAAGTATTTAGTATCTGACGCTGAATTTTCAGCAGTCGATAACAAATCTACATTTCTGCCAAAATCAAATAGGGTTGCTTCCATATATTTTTGGTGCTGAAAAGGAAATAAAAAAAAAGCGTTTTGAAACAACTCTTCTAGCATACTAATCGAGCAGTTTGCCTACAGAACAGATCGAAGTGGATGATTGAACAGACTTGAGATTCCTTTTCGTTGTTCAGAATTACCATTGTCTAAAGAATACGTGTATATTAGAGATGTGAAGTGCGAACGATTGAAACAATACTCAATTTCGTGTTGTATAGTTACGGCTTACTTATGCTTTCGAAACTTCGTGTGGCAAGTGTAGCTGCCTAAGTCGATTCTTTTCCTTTTGATCTTTGCGTCTGACTTTTTATCTACATCAAGCAACATAAAGCCTATTGAAATCGTCTAACGAATGAACCATTTTGTAGCAGAAATCTGAACTATATTTTCATGCTACTAATCCAAATAGCCCGTTTTACATGAAACAATATATGGGTGAGTCATTCGACATACATGTGAGAGTGGAATTGTATGTGCGTGTTGTCTGTATGAATGATGAAACACTGCCAAGTATTCACTGCAAGTATACGATCCCAACACTAAAACGTTCAAATTCACACCCTCCAATCCTATTTTGAATTGATATTAAGACCATCATTTTCTGACAGTAATCTATTACACTAATAGCGGTTAAAAGCATACAACAAAAAGAAAAACAGCTGTTCTCTATTTAACACACGNAAACCTTGGCTAGAAAAAAAAATTTATTCTTGATTGCAACTAATACTTATAGGCAAAGACAAACGGTAGTCATTTACGTAGAAGTTTAGTAAGCATCATCATTTTTATTTATCTTACTTTCTATTTAAAATCTAGAGAACACCCATGAAATCACCATTATAGTAAAAACGTTCGAGAAGAATCATTCCGATTCATAAAGATGAATCCGTTTTCAATACTTTCTCAACATACCACTGAGATAAAACAATACCTTGACATATGATGAGTAAATAGTGTATGCATAAGCTGTTTAACGTTTTTGTACAATGTTATCACACTGTAAAAAAAAAAAGCTTTCTACGGAACCAAAAAAGGATCTGAGCGCGGGCACACGGTCAGATCCTTTTTTAGGTTTCGTAGAAAAAAGGTTCCGTATGCAACTTCTTCTTGACAAATGGAAAAAATGGTTTCGTACACACGGTTCAGTACGAAACCTTTATCAGGAAAAGCCACAAAGGTTTCGTACACAGGTTCGGCACGAAACCTCTGCGAAATTCTGCACAAAAGGTTTCGTACACATGGTTTCGCATAAAACTTTTCGAATCATATTCATCTGATGAGGAACCCCTTGGAAGTGATGCATGGTTTTCTAGTTGAGCTGCCGTACATATGATCGATGTCAGTGAGATAAGGGAAACCCCTGAAGAATGCTTTTCGTTAGTTCTTCCTTCGAAAGTTATCCTTATGTTTTCAGAATTTCAGTGAAATTCCAAGGAGGAGATCTTTGTAGCTGTCGAATTGATTTTGAATTTGAGCCCAGTTTGTCAGATAGATCTTAGTGAAATATAAAAAGCTCCAAATGAACGATGGTTCATAAGTCTTCTATAGAAAGTTGCAGACATTTTCTTGAATTTTAACCAATAGTGTGGCAGATATCAGTGAATTGAATGAGACTATTTCTATTTGAGATTTCATGGAGAGAAGAATTCATTCATCAGGGAAATGTCCCAGAAGGTTTATTTCACAAGAATGCATATTTCCTAGGGATGGTCAAGTTCACGGAACAAACCACATTTCATCATCGTTTTTTTAGGCACTGGTGGTATTGTTGAACTTTGAAGACTCTGGAAAAGATGTGTGCTTTTGAAAAAAGCCTTTGGAACATTTCCCTGACAAATCAATTCTTCTTTTCATGAAATCTCAAATAGAAATAGTCTCATTCAATTCACTGACATCTGCCACACTATAGGTTAAAATTCAAAAAAATGTCTCCAACTTTCTATAGAAGACTTATCAACCATCATTCATTTGGAGCTTTTTATATCTCACTAAGATCTATCTGACAAACTGGCCTCAAACTCAAAATCAATTCGACAGCTACAAAGATCTCCTCCTTGGAATTACACTGAAATTCTGATAACATAAGGATAACTTTCGAAGAAAGAACTAACGAAAGGCATTCTTCAGGGGCTTCCCATATCTCACTGAAATCGATCATATGTACGGCAGCTCAACTAGAAAACCATGCATCGCTTCAAAGGGCCCCTCTTTAGGCACGAAAGAAAAAACACTGTTTACTTCAAACCCGTCAATAGGTCATTCTCAAAAAAAAAGAACCAAAAAAAAACAATAAACTTACTTCCATAATCAATATGAAACTAACCAGAATGATTTTCGAATCGTTGCAACGACATAAGTGTAAAAGAAATAGAGGAACTGATTTGAATTATTCAAAATGAAACCTTCCAGAACGATTTTCGAATCGTTGCAACGATCTAAATATAAAAAGAACAGAGGAACTGCTTTGAATTATTGAAATGAAACTCACCAGAATGATTTTCGAATCGTTGCAACGAGCTAAATATAAAAAAAAGATAAATTCCTTCTAATTTTTCAAAATGAAACTCACCAGAATCATTTCCGAACGGTTCCAACGACCTAAGGGTAAAATAAATAGAGGAATTGCTTTGAATTATTGAAATGAAACTCA